TTATAAGGGAAGCACCAAAGGCCCCAGGGGCACAGGGGAAGGTTTCCTGACACATTAGGGAGAGCGTCCAGAGAGTGTCTTTTATGCAGGTACCAGAAGGCTCAGTAGGAATAGCTGGTAACAAGAGGGACAAGGGGAAGAGGGACAAGGGGAAGAACATGTTCTGCAAAGAACAGGAAGGGAGCAGCAAGACAGTTTAGCAGGTGCTGGATTGGGGAGGCTTGAAAGGGCACTTGGGAGTCAGGATTTTCATCCCAGAAACAACAGGCAACTATTCCCTGAAGGACTTCAAGCAGATGTTCATCTTTGGAGAAGACTACTTTGCCTGTATGCTAGAGAATGGACCAGAGAAAGGCAAGACCAAGTGTGGAAGGACAAAGCTAGGATGAACATTGAGGTGGGGAAGGATGGCACAGTCCAGGAAAGTGGTAGTCATGATGACAGTGGCAAAATGATGCCAAAATAAGCAGCAGGAAGAGACAACAGGATGGGGAAATGCATGGCTGTCTCCTTGGTTCCTGGCTGGAGAAAATATACATTTGGGGAAAAAGGGGAACCCCATTTCCAAACAAGGTGTGTTTGAGGAATCTATCAACTATCCAGTGGTCTGCTCCAGTAGGCAGTTGTCATAATGGCAGCAGCAGCTAACAAGGACATAGTGCTTTACAGTAGTCCCTGTTATCCACAGTTTTGCTCTCCACAGTTTGTGACTGTAGTCTGAAAAAATTAAAGAGAAGATTTCAGAAAAAAGCAATTTGTAAGTATTAAACTGCATGCATCCTGCGCAGTGTGCTGAAATTTTGCACCATTCAACCCATGAATCATTTCTTTGTCTAGGATATCCACATTACATATACTGCCAGCCCATTCATTAGTCACTTGGTAGCCAATGGTTATCAGATTGACTGTGGTGGTATCGCTATACTTGTGTTCAAGTCACCCTTATTTTACTTAATGGCCCCAAAGTCCAGTGGTAATGATGCTGGCAATCTGTTATAATTGTTCTATTTTATTATTAGTTATTGTTGTTAATCTCTTACTGTGCCTAGTTTATAAATTAAGCTTTATCAGAGGCAAGTATGTATAAGAAAAAACATGGTATGTACAGGGTTTGGAACTATTTGCAGGCACCCACTGGGTATCCCCCAAGGGTTGGGGGGTGGCGATTGTATTATGTACCAGATATTGTTCGGTGCTTCACATTTATTAACGCAAGACGTCACAACTACTGTACGAGTAGTTTTATCTTTTATTCCTATTTTATAGATGAAGCAACAGAGGTATAAAAAACTTCCAAACATTGCCCCAAAACACACAGCCAATAAGTGCCTGAGTCTAGATTCAAAGCCCTCAGTTTGGCCTCAGTCTATGCTCTTAGCCAGCAGCTGCTACTTTCTCACACACATACAGCTCTGAGGCTCAGCCTAAACACACAGAGGACTTAAGAACACTGAGCATATGGAAATACACAAAATCTCAGCAGAGTATCCTGAATGAAAAGTAGAGGGGCTCAAGACTGACTTCAATATCATGTATAAGAGGAGGCCACAGGGAAATGGGTGTAGACACAAAGGTAGGAAAAATCCCAGGAAACAGTGGTACCACCAAAAAGAGCAGAGAAAGGACCCTCAGGAAGCAGTAAAGTGCTGTGTGACGTGCAGCTAGACAGTCATGGAAGATGTGTGCAATGCGAGGGACTTGATTTCATTTTTATTTATTTATTTTAGGGACAAGGTCTCACTTGTCACTCAGGCTGGAGAGCAGCGGCAATCATAACTCATTGCAACCTCAAATTCCTGGGCTTAAATGATCCTTCAACCTCAGCCTCCCGAGTTGCTGGAATAACAGACACATGCCATCACACCTAGCTAATGTTTTTATTTTTTATTTTGGGGACTCACTATGTTGCCCAGGCTGGTCATGAACTCCTGGCTTCAAGCAATCCTCCCACCTCAGCCTCCCAAAGTGCTGGGACTACAGGCATGAACTACTGTGCCCAGTTGATTTTATTTTTTACAGCAAGAGCTGGCCAACTACAACATGTTTTTTGTACGGCCCAATATGTTTTCATATTTTTATGAGGTTAGGAAACAGGGAAGAATACTCAACAGAGACAGGATGTGCCTCATGAAGCTTAACACATATACTACGCAGCCCTTTACAAAAAAGTCTGCAGAATGACTTGTGACCTTGGCAAGAACAGATTCAGGAAAACACTGAAGACAAACACCAGACTGCAGGTTACTGAGGAAACTGAGGAACATAAAGGAATAATAGAAAGATAAGGTAGTCCTTTCATGTCTGGCTATGAAAGAAGAGCTTCAAGGGTACAAGAGGGGAGGAAGAAGTTGGTTTATTGCACAGATGGAAGAGATGAAAGCATCACCAAATGCAAATAGAAAGAAGACATGGAGAGGGAATGAATGAAAAAAGAGGAAAGAAAAGCTGTTACTGAGCAAGACCCCTATTAGGGGAGGAGAGGGGGTCCAGAACACAGACAAGAACAAGGACATCATTTCTGAGGTAACAGAAAGGCAGGAAAGAGTGTCTGTAGGCATGGAAGGAGAGGAACATCCCAGTGCATGGCTTCTGTTTTCTCCAAGGCGTCTGCTGGCAGCAAGGTGGGAGGGTCAGAGATTAAAGAATAGGCGAAAGTCTGAAAATTCATGCAGTGCAGAGAGTGCTCACTACAGAGAAACACAAAACGTACAGCAGCCTCAAACACCCAGTGTTAGAGACCACAAACCACAGTTTCATTCATGTGGCCTGCCTGCCACAAGCCATAAGCATTTTCCAGATAATGGAACATATCCCTTCAAGACATTATACTCTAATGGACATTTAAAAATGCTTTATTGTCTCCTTTTTGAAAAAAGCATATTTATATAGTGGTTACACACAGGCATCAAAGACCTGGATTAAAACCCAAGCTCTGTCATTTACTAGCTGTGTAGTTTTATCTGAAAATTAACCTCAGTTACTTATGGTATAAAATGGGCTGGGCTTGGTGGCTCACACCTGTAATCCCAGCACTTTGGGAAACCAAGGCAGGATTAGCAGGGCATGGTGGTATGTATCTGTAGTTCCAGCTACTCAGGAGGCTGAAATGGAAGGATCACTTGAACCCAGAAGCTTGAGGCTTCAGTGAGACTGTGCCACTGCCCTCCAGCCTGAGCAACAGAGTGAGACCCTGACTCAAAAAAACAAAACAAAACAAAAAAGGCCTGGCAAAGTGGCTCATGCCTGTAATCCAGCACTTTGGGAGGCTGAGGCAGGAGGATTGCTTGAGCCCAAGAGTTTGAGACCAGCCTGGGCTACACAGTGAGACTGTCTCCACACACACACACACAAAATAACAAGTAAAAATAAATAAAATGGGATATCACTACCTGCCTCAGTTAATATAATCACAACGATTAAATTAAATGAGATTTATAAAATACAGTAATCGCTGGGCTCGGTGGCTCAGCCTGTAATCCCGCGCCTTTGGGAGGCTGAGGTGAGTGGATTGCCTGAGCCCGCGGGTTCGAGACCTGCCTGGGCAGCGAGACCTCATCTCTACAATAAATCAAAAAATCAGCTGGGCATGGTAGCACATGCCTCTAATTCCGGCTACTCGGAAGGCTGAGGCGGAAGGATAGCCGGAGCCCAGCTGGTCGAGGTTGTGGTGGCCGGGAGCGGCCACTGCACTCCAGTCTGGGCGACAGAGTGAGACTCCAACTCAAAAAATAAATAAATAAAATAAAATAAAATAAAATAGTCTAGCTGGGTGTGGTGGCTCGCACCTGTAGTTCCAGATACTTGGAAGGCTGAGGTGGAAGGATCTCTGGAGCCCAGCAGGTCAAGGCTGCAGAGGCCATGAGTGTGCCACTGCACTTAGCCTGGGCAACAGAGTGAGGCTCCAACTCAAATAAAATAAAATAAAATGCAATAGTCCAGTGGGTGGAAAGATAGATGACTCAATAAATGATAACAGTTTATTATTATTACTATTAGCGCAGCAGTATTTTGCTGCCCATATTACTGGTACTGGTTCAGCTGAGTGGCAGAAGGGAGTCCAGAAAGGACATGGATGTTCAGGACACTTTGCTTCCACACAACCTCAGTTAGATCCACTAACCAAGTGACCCAGGCAGGATACTCGAGGTATCATTTCCAATCTGCAGAATGAGGGGATTTCACTGATCATCAAAAAACCCCCGGGACCTTTCTTATTTAGATACAGGGGTTTTAGATACAGGTTATTTAGATACAGTGATTTGTTCTGTAAAAATGCGACCTTTCGATCAAGCACATTCCTGTACAATTCTGTAATCAGAAAGACTTGAGTCTGAATCCTGCTATCACTCTCTGGATGAAGACGAGTTATTTGACTTTGCTGGGCCTCGCTTTCTTCATCCAGAAAAGAGAGTGTGCACAAGTCGTAACGTGTGGGGCTGTAGCGACTCAACAGGAAGCGCTCGGGCCGGAGCGTTAGCTGTTACCCCTACTGGCTCCGCTCTCCGGGTGACCCGGGACACTCTGCACAGCCTGTCCAGACCCGGGCTCAAGAACAGGTGGCCAGTCTTGATCTTCCCGAAACAGACACACGCGGACCTCCGCAAAGAGGAAACGCTGGGAGTGTTGCTGCACTGCAAAGACCTTCTTAAAACATCCCGTGGCTGATTTTCCTTTGGGGTCTCACGCGTTCACAGTCCTCGCCACGCAGCCACCCAGGGGGCTTCGACGGGCCAAAGACACGAGCGCAAGGAAGCTCTGGGACGCGACAGGGGTCCCAATCACGGAGCCCGGGACGGGACTGCGCGACGCCTTTCACAAGCGCTCGGGCGGCCGCTGGATCCCAACTCAGGGGCCCGGGAGCCTCCAGCGAGGAGGTCGGTAGTGCGCCCACACCCTGGGACCCCGTGGTCGCGCTCGAGCCGGAGGTGGGGCCCCAGTCAGCGGCTGGCGGGGCGGGACGCGGCTGACAGGACAGAGCGCGCGGCGCGGCCCAGCCTCACCTGAAAGAGCTCCTGGAAGCGGATTGGGAGCATCTGGGCCATGGCCGGCACGAGACCGCGGCGGCGGCGGCGGCGGCAGCGGAGGTGAGGGAGGACAGCCGACCCCTCAGCCAGCCAGCGGATCCCTCAGCCAGGCAGCGAGGACCGCCCGCGCAGGCGCACTGTCCAACTACAGCTCCCTTTTAACGGCCGTGCTCCTCCACGCCACCGGGATCCCTCCGCCCTCTCCGCAGGGTCCGCGAAAAGTAGTCCTGTGCCTCAGGACTTCCAGAGCCGCCGAGCTAGAGCAAGTTTGCGCTGCCCTCAGTTGGTTCACAGGGCAGGTGTGCATGGGAAGGTGGGCCGGGTCCCAAACAAGTGCTCAGGAAAGTGGACTGGATCTGGGGCTGCCCAGGGCAGGTGTGCACAGAACGGTGAACTGGTCCCCAGGGGTTGCTTAGGCATCCCCTGGGGACTCGGTGCACCTTTGTGCACACCTGCTCTGGGCAGTCCTAGACTGGTACCCCTTCGCGCGCACACCTGCCTTGGGCAACCCTGAACCAGGGCCACCTTCCTTGGGACCCAGCCCACCTTCCAGCGTACATCTTCCCTGGGCACCCCTAGACCCCAGAGAGGGACAATGATGATAATTCTACCTCCAACTCTGCATCGCTGAGTTCAAGGCCACTTGCTACGGAGGCACAGATGTGACAAAAACCTGGAAAGGGGTCTTGGAAGTACAGTCAAGGGCCACAAAATGACCTTCGATCAACAAAAGACTGCATACATGACAGTGGTCCCATAAGATTATAATGGAGCTGAACAATTCCTATTCTCTAGTGAGGTCTTAGCTCAAGGGTGTTATCTTTTCTGTGTTTAGATACCATTGCATTTCAATCGCTTACAATATTCAATACAGTCATATGCTGTACAGGTTTAACGCTTAGAGCAACAGACCACTACAGAGCCTACCATCTAGATTTGTGTAAGCACACTCTATGATGATCCCACAATGATCGTGCATTTCTCAGAAGTATCCCTCATTAGTGTATGCTACAGATGTGTTTCTGTATGAGGCTCAGCAACCGCTCCTTTAGAAAACATCTTTCCTGCTCATACAATATCTAGAGAACACAGTCAGAATATCAATGCTAAGAGTCCGTAGAGATTGTCTAGCAGCAGGTGACCAACCCAAAGCCAGTAAGGATCATCCAAATTACCTGAGGTTGCACAAGAGTAGTAGCCGGTTGGAGCTAGAGCCCACACCCAGTTTGCCCAGGAACCAGTCCCCCCACCCCCACCCCAGACACCATTTGTAGATGGGTTTTGCATGCAGATGATTCAGTTACATAAAATATGTCTGTCAGGAAAAGGAAGCCCTTAGCATTCAGCACACACATTCTCCTGGTGTAATCGATAGCCTCCTCTGCGGCATCACATGTTGCTCCCTGGTGACTTTAAGAGATGAATGGTCCACTGTGAATAACACAGGGATGGTGCAATTATTTGTGTAGTGTCTTGACCATCTAGTAGCCAAAAATATCTTAAGGAATAGAACAGACTGTTCATTTTCAAATTAAATCTCTTTTCCAGTATTAGCCAAGACCTCTGCAACCTGCCCTTTCGACATCTGTGTGGCCTCATCTGCTAAAAGTAGAACTGATTTTAGCTGTGGGCAGTACTATAGTTCCCAAATCTCCCAAACAATATATAAATCTTTTAGTATTAATAGTATTAATCTCCAAATCACCTCCTCAGAACTTTTTTGGGGGCTTAACACTAAAATTTATATCCTAAAAGAAAGAATTTTTAAGAAAATAGTGGTTAAGCCGGGCTCGGTGGCTCAGCCTGTAATCCCGCGCTTTGGGAGCCTGAGGCGAGTGAATTGCCTGAACCCGCGGGTTCGAGACCCGCCTGGGCAACTTGGCGAGACCTCATCTCCATAATAAATCAAAAATTAGCCGGACGTGGTAGTGCGCGCCTGTAGTTCCGGCTACTTGGAAGGCTGAGATGGAAGGATCGCTGGAGCCCTGCAGGTCGAGGTTGCAGTGGCCGGGAGCAGCCACTGCACTCCAGTCTGAGCAACAGAGTGAAACTCCAACTCAAAAAAAAAAAAAAAAAAAGAAAATAATGGTTAAGCAAAATGATGTTCCAACTTGAAAAAGATTTTAATATTCTCACCAGTGTGAGTAACTTGCCAAGTAATCCTGGAAAAAGCTTTCAATTCTTTGTGCTGATTTCCTGTGTTCTCAACAGAAGTGGTGAGCTCCTACAACTCAATAAGACCAGCAGCCAAATAGAAAAATAGACAAAAATATATGAGCAGATAATTCATAAAAAAGAAATATATAGCTGGGCTCGGTGGCTCAGCCTGTAATCCCTTGCCTTGGGAGGCTGAGGTGAGTGGATTGCCTGAGCCCGCGGGTTCAAGACCCGCCTGGGCAACTTGGTGAGACTTCATCTCTACAATAAATCAAAAAATTAACCGAGCGTGGTAGCACGCACCTGTAGTTCCAGCTACTTGGAAGGCTGAGGCAGAAGGATCGCCGGAGCCCAGTAGGTCGAGGCTGCAGTGGCCAGGAGCGGCCACTGCACTCCAGTCTGGGGGACAGAGTGAGACTTCAACTCAAAAAACAAAAGAAAGAAAGAAAGAAATACAGGCTTTGGCCCCCTCCCCTACCTTGGGGAGGTGAATCTCTTCTCTCTCTCCTTCTCTCTCTCTTATTTACTTTCTAAATAAACTGCTTAAAAACTTAAAAAAAAAAAAAGAAATACACTCAGCCATATGTATGGGTTTCACATCTGTAAATTCAACCAACTGCCAGTTGAAAATGTTGTTAGTTGGAAGGCTGAGTCAGAAGAATTACCGCAGCCCAGCAGGTCAGTGCTGGGGTGGTCATGAGCATGCCACTGCACTACAGCCTGAGCAACATAGTGAGACTCCAACTCAAAAAGAAAAAAAAGAAAAGAAAAGAAAATGTTGTTAGGATTACAATGGCTACATCTGTACTGAACATGCATAGACTATTTTTTCTTGTCTTTGTTCTCTAAACATATAGAAGAACAATTATTTACTTAGCATTCACACTGTATTAGGTATTATGAGGAACCTAGAGGTGATTGAAAGTATAAGCGAGGATGTATATAGGTTATATGCAAATACTACATCATTGTATAAAGGAATTTGAGTATTCACAAATTTTGTTATGGGGTGACCCTGAAACCAACTCCTCATAGATACTGAGGGATGACTGTACAACTGATTCTGATACACGAAAAAAATTCTCAGCTTCACTCATAAGCAAAAGGCAAATTAAAAGACACTGATTAGCCAGGCATGGTGCCTCACACCTATAATCTCAACAGAAGGGTGGCTGAGGCAAGAGGATTGCTTGAGCCCAGGAGTTTGAGACTAACCTAGGCAACATAGTAAGACTTCATCTCTACAAAAATCAAAAAATTAACTGTGTGGTGGCACACACCTGTAGTCCCAACTACTCAGGAGACTGAGGCAGAAGCATTTCCTGAGCCTAGGAGATCAAAGCTACAGTGAACCATGATTGTGCCACTGCACTCCAACCTGGGTGACAGAGTGAGACCCTGACTAAAAAAACAAAATAAACAAACAAAAAACCCCACTGATTATATATTTTATGTAGATAATATATTGCATATATTTTATTTTTTAATCTATCAAATCAATAAAGGTCAACCACTCTGATAGCACTGTGTTGACAATGGTGTGCAGAGGGCAATCGTGATAGCTTACTAGCTTACTAGTAATATACGCTTTAGTATTCTACCTAGGGTATCTATCCTACAGTTATTATTGCAGACCTCCATTCTACAGATACAAATTCCAAGAAAAATGAGCAACTCATGGGGAAAAAAAATGCTCAAAGAAGCAAGGCACCACAAGCAGAACCAAAAGAACCCAGAGGCAGATGCAGACCCATAAGAATTGAGATAATTAAATTATCACAGTCTTTAAGTTCCTATATTTAATATGTTTAAAGAGCTAAATGACAAGATTTAAGAATACATAAGGGGAAGAAATACATGCACAAAACCCAAAACTATACAGAATGACCAAGCAGATTTGAAAAAGAACGAAATAGAAGTCCTAGAAATGAAAAATGTAATAGAATACATCTTTGATATAAATAACAGAAGTGGATCTAAAATGTGGAATCATAGTCGGGCACGGCGACTCATGCATGTAATCCCAGCACTTCGAGAGGCAGAGATGAGAGCATTGCCTGAACCCAAGGGTTCAAGACCAACATGGTGAGACCTCATCTCCACAATAAATCAAAAAAGTTGACCTGGCATGGTGGCATATGCCATTCCAGCTATTTGGAAGGCTGAGGTGGAAGGATCACCTGAGCACAGCAGGTAGAAGCTGCAGTGACCATGAGTATGCCATTGCACGCCAACCTGGGCAGCAGAGTGAAACTCCAACTCCCAAAAACTAATTAATTAATTTTAAAAATATGGAATCATGTTGTACAGTAAATTAAAATTAGGATAGAGGAAGGGCAAGGATGAAAACTATATCTGCTAGAGTCTAATCAAGGGCTGTCTTAGTCCATTTGTGCTGTTATAACATAAAGCCACAGATGGGGTAATTTATTAACAGTGGAAATGTATTTCTTACAGTTCTGGAGGCTAGGAAGTCCAATATGACAGTGCCAGCAGATTGAGTGTCTGGTGAGGGACTGCTTCATAGATGCCATTTTCTCCCAGTGTCCTCACATGATAGAAAAGGTAAAAGGGATGAACTCGCCTCCTCAAGTCTCCAAGCATTTATACGGCACTAATCCCATTCATGAGGGCTCTGCCCTCATGGCCCAGTCGTCTTGTAAAAGTCTCACCTCTTAATATTGTTGCATTTGGGATTAAGTTTCAACATGAATTTTAAGAGAGGATACAAACATTCAAATCATAGCAGAGACAGAAAGCACACCAGTTACTTGAACAGAGAGAACTGAATATAAACAATAGTTAACAAGAAATAAAATTGTAAGCGAGATGGCTAGAAGGACAAAAGGAGAACTCCAAATTATAGAAGTACAAAAGTAGGAAGCAGTTACCACCCCTACACCTCAGGGATGAATGAGAAG